GAAGAAGAAAAAAAACAACGCCAAGCCCAATACCAAGAATTAAAGAATTCCATTGCGGAAGTAACCAACAACCTTAACCGCGTAGAAACCCAATTAACTAATGCCCTTAATGACTTCAAATCCGAGGTCAATGAACGCTTTGAAGAACAAGAACGCAAAATTTTAGCCAACAAACAACGCATCGAAGAAGAACGCCGCAAACGAGAAGCTGAAATCCAAGAAATCAACAGCAAAATAAAAGTCACGAACACCAACTTAGAAAACTTACGGCAAGAAAAAGAGGAATTATCCGACAATTTTGATAAGTACAAGGCTCAAATCGACCAAAAAACTGCCGAAACTCAACAAATCCTCGAAGACACCCAAGCCGAATACGAAAGAAGAACTAAAATAATCGAAGCCCAAATTGAAGATAATCAAGAAACTATTGAGGAATTTAATGAACAATTAACTAATGTCCGCCACGAACAAGCCAAGCAAAGAGTTCAACAAGAAGAAATCTTGGAAGAATTACAAGAAACTAATGATATTCTCTTCGCTCAGCAAAGAAAACTTAACCTCGTTGCCGAACAAATGAACGATATCCAAGAAGAAGTCCACGAACGAATGGATAAACTTTCCCAAAAACTAGATGAACGCATAAACGAAACTCTTAATATTGCCAAGGACACCAATCAAAAACTTGACCAACTAACCGAGGAAGTTCAAAACATTCAACAAACCACTGAACAACTCCAAGAACAAATCAAAAAGAATAAAGAAGAAACCGAAAAAGCCAAAAAAGAAGCCAAATTAGCCAATGAAAGACTGGATAACTTATTAAAAGCCCAAGCCCTCCGTGATTATTCATCCGAGCAGTCCAAATTAGATAAAATTCAAAAATCCCTCAGTCTAAAAGCCGAAGAAACCAAATTACTGGCTACTCTTAATCTTTTACAAGAAACTAAGCAATTAATCAAAGTAGAACCCGCCGAAAGAGACTGAAAAGTCGGTGTCAAAACTGGCACCGTTGGCAAAGACTTCCCAAAAACCGAGGGATATATGCTTGCTCCTAATAGTTGATGAGAAAGAAACTATCTGGGAGAACAAGTAAAACCAGATAACCCTTATTCTCTCTTTACTCCCGAATGATTTAATTGGGAGGAGAAAAATCAATTAAAACCCGAAGAGACTAAATTTGAACCGTGGGGAGAAAGAGTCAAAGAAGAACATGAAAGTGCTTATTTAACTGACCCCGAGAAAAGAAAAGAAGAGCAAGCCAAAAAGAGTAAACAGGAAGAAAAGAAACCAGCAGGGGAGGAAACTGCCCAAGCCCAAGATACTCTGGAAAAAATTGAAGAACTAAAAAAAGAAACTTTATCCCGCTTACAAGAAATTCAGTCTCAAATAACACAAAACCTTAATGAAGTAGAAGAAAAAACAACTACTCCTCCACCTAAACCATCTACTAAATATAACCAACCTATTGCTGTCGCCCAACAAAAAATCCAACAGGCCAAACAAAAAATAACTGATAAAAAACAAGCCCAATGGGAAGCCCAACAAAAGGCTCAATCTCAACCAACTAAAAAAAATATTGAACTAGCCCAGCAGGCTCAACGAGAAACTAAGCAAGCCGAACAAGAACTCGCCCAAGCCCAAGCCGAATTACAATCTTTACAAAGTCAACAGGAATTTGAAGCCAGTTTAGAGAAGTTTGAAGAAGAAACCACCGAAAGAGAACAAGCCGAAATTGAACAGCAATGGTCTGCTATTCAGGCTCTTTCTAAACAAGCATTACAAGAAAATTCTGAATCAGAAGAAGAGCCTGAAGAGACCAAAGAAAATGATTTAGATAAAAAATTGGAAGAACTAGTCCAACAGTTAAAAGAAATGGAACAGTCGGCAGCCGCCAGTCAAAAAACTATGTCCATGTTTATGCTGTTCCTGATTATCTTCTTATTAGAGTATGTAGTTTATAAAAGAAATGGTTT